TATAGCCACATATTAATTGTTCTTCTAAAAACACCAATGGCCAATTTTTTTTTGTCCCAATTTAATAGAGAAAGAAAAAATAAAATCAAGGCTCAGGTCTTTAAAAACAACTGAACCAAAGGGATCTTTTTCAGGAATGCTTCAGACACCAAAATACCATTTCACAATGGAAACTTCAACTGAACTAAGCTGCAGTATTAAAAACACTTCATAAAATCTGTTTTTAAGGGCTCAGCACCCTTGTAAAATCAGGTAGTGCACATTATATGTCAAGGCCATTGCTTTAGAAACCTGAGATGATCTCCTTGCTGTGCAGGGAGACTGAGTCACTGGTACAGCACTGAAGAATGGAGTTCACTTGAACACTGAGTAGGAAGGAGCATCCCTCTGTTTTCTAAAGGATCCTCTCATGTGAGACAGAGTGAGAGGCAAATGGTTTTGGAGATGGGCTGCCCAAGTGATAAACTGAGATGTGGGCAGACACAACAATTGCTTAAAAAGCTGCTGCAGGAACAGAAAAGAATTAATCAACTCCCCTTACCCATGCTGAGGACAAACAGAGACAATCAATGTGTTTTGTCAGGACTGTTTTGATGAGGTATTGTGTTAGACATCAGGCTAAGAAACCAACCCCAAACTTCCTAATAACAAAACTACTAAACTACTGTAATAGGATGACAACAGCAACTCAGAAATCCATAGCACTGGAGCATTCACAGAGTGCAGGCAAAACCAAACAACCAGAGGCTGAGCTGCATTGTGGAATAGGAATGAAATCAATCCAATTCAGTACCTTTTTTATAAACTGTGATTTTAAAAATCTTAATCTTTTCACAAAATGGAATTGGAAAAAAAATATTACCATTTTCAGCTTTTCCACTAGCTTCAGCAACCATGAAACATTCTCCCCAGTTAATATTACAGCTTATTTTTCTACAGATCTACAGACAAAATGTCTTTTTTTTTTAACATGGTCCTGTGTTCTTTCTCCATGTGGTTCTTCACATTTCAAAAGTAAACAGAAACACAAATATCTACACACAGCTGATGGCAGCTGTGTGCAGCCACCTTTTCAGCCAAAGTAATCATTCATACCATTTATTTAATTGGTTCATAATTACAGACATATGGACATAATAACTGCCAGTCAAAAAAACCCACTGGTATTACAGTAAGTTCAGATTCTTGAATATAAATACATTTCTAACATCAAATGCAATATTTTGGGCTGCAGACTGAAGAAAGAAAAGATGCAACTTTTGCAGTGGTTTTGTATTCTGGAATTGTACATTTTAAGTCAATGATTTCTATACACAGCAGATCACCACTGCAGTGGGTTTGCCCTTAACAGTCAAGGTTAAAGTTACTCTCAAGTCCATTTTACTTTCCATAACTCAAATTTCATTACTTTAACCTCAAAATAATGCTTGAAAGAGAAGATATAGCAGGTCTGATGCTTGGAATTACTGGAGTTTAAAATAACAAAATTTTCAGCTCCTAATTGAAGTGCAAAATTTTGAGTTAAGTGTGGAGGCTTAACAGTGACTAAGCACAGAAGCATATGTCTGTAAAAGAAAAAGGCAAAATAATAATGAAAAATGCTTTGTTGTCTCTTTATTTGTAACAAGATACAAGGAGGTATGAAGGGATGAAATGCAGCAGGATGTGGGAGGGTAAGAAATAAGTACATGGGTTACGTTGCTTCAGGAGAACTCAGGAAAATCACTGCTTTGCACAGACTTTGGTCATTTCTTGGAAGGCACCCAGCCACTCAACAGATAAAACTGACCGGTCTAAAGCATGGCTCTGCAATGATGTGATTTTCACAGAATCATAGAATTAGCTAGGTTGGAAAAGACCTTTGAGATCACCAAGTCCATTTTGTTGCATTCAGTGATGAGTCAAGGAAAAGGACCAGCTCTGATCTCATTCCATTTGTATATTCTGTGACTATTTAGCATGTGGTGAAAAAAGAAAATCACAGGAACCATATTCTAAGTAAAAATACTTTTTTTTTTTTTTTTTTTTTTTTTTTTTTTCTGGATGCCCTCTTGTGTTCTTGAGTTTGTCTGGGCTGGTTTTGAATACTGCAGTGGTAGAGATGTCACAGCTCCCTCAGGCAGCCTGGGCTCTATGGCACCTACAGGCAAGTGCAGTTGCACTACAAGTTTTTGTATGCAACACTGCCAACTTCTGCCTTACATGTCAATTAGATTCTTGACCTGCTCCTTATCTCTGCAGCAGAGACTCCCAATTATTTTGGCAAAAAGTAACCTAAGGACTACTCTGGCATATGCAAATCTTCACTATCTGATCTGAAGAAGTTGTCAATCAACTGCTCCAGAAAATAATGCTCCTGTCATCAGCCAGAGCTTCTAAATAAATAGACATCTGAGAGAGTTTTACTCGTGCAGCTTCTGTAATATGTAGCTTTACAAGTTTAATTGGAATTGGAATTTACTCCATATTTACTCTGACAAAAACAGTCATTGACAAAACAATAGCAGCAATCCTCCCAGCCAAACTGGGTCTATTCTTCCCTAACTTCTCATATTGGGTCAAGTTTCAATGGAGAATGGAATTTGCAAAGAACTAATAAAGCATCCCCCTTGGAATTTAAAGGACAAGGCTATAGAAAGATATAAGGGAGTCCTTACTATTTTTAATAAGGCATATAAGGGAGATATATTTTTAAACTCTTTTCATGATCACTTTTATAATAATGTTAATGTCTTATTGATATGATCATGAGTGGGCGATTTAGTGACATTTCTATCAAGGTAGAAAGAACTGTACTAAAGAATGAGCCACCAGGTCTGTGGTTCTCTGAATGTGCAAGAATGTCAGTCTCAGTCACTTTAGCTCTTCTCACTCCTATCCTGCCATGCAGGACACCCAGCTTCAGCCACTGCCATCTGTCATCTCAGAGAAATGAGTTTTAAAATTTCGTTATATCCTCTGCCATTGATACCTGTCCCTGTCCTTTCTCTTTCCACTGAATATTCCCAGTGGTGCAGGATCTCAAGGGACAATTCCAGAACCACAAAGAGTGGCTGAAGCACAGCCTTTGTTACAGCAGGTGTCCTCCATGGCACAAAATCTTTTTCTTCTCCTACCCAACCATTTTCCACTTGAAGTCTATTGCATCTTGAATACACTTACAATTCTGGTTGGTTTCTAAGAGACTTGAATGAACCCTGGATAGACATCCCAAACACAGTTGATTATCCAGAATGATGCACTTGGTCATGGCCACTGCCCAGCAGTACCAAAGATTATTTCTCCTGATGAATTTAGGGCCACAGAGAGTTCAGATTAACTACTCTTGTGGATATACTTCATGCTGTTCACTCACAGGCTGAAGGGAAGTCTCCTTATACTCTACAGCATCACATGGCTCACAGGTATTTACTGTTCACGCCACCATGCAGAGTTAGATGTGGAAATTAATGGGGTTAAAAGAAGGTTGCCACATTGGTTCAAATGTTCAGGAGAAGAAAACCCAAAATATGATTTTGCCTGCAATCAGCCTAAGGAAACATTTCCTAAGCTCTTGGATATGTGCTGCAGTTCTACTTCATTATGAATTAGAGTCCAGTAAATCCCTAGTACCTTTAGCACAGTCAGAAGTACATATATAATTAAATAAAATGAAAAAAAATCTGAAGAACTCATATCTCACTCTCACAGGACCATCCTTATCCAATAAGACCAGAATAAAAAAAAACCCAATCATTTTGTACTCTGCAGAGGGAAACACAGGCAGAAGGTGTTCTGTAATGGACATTTAAGTGGTACAATCATTTGTACTATCCTTCATTCAATTTTCTAATCAAGAATGTATACCTATGTCACCTCTTTCACCATTTGCTGTAATTCTTTTCCTAGCTTTCTGGGGGAATTTTGTGCCAATTAGTCAGGATTAAAATCATCCACACACAGTCATATTGCAGGAATATAAAATATGAAACGCCATGACCCTTTTTAGACACAGATAAACTTGGCAAATATTCAGAGCATCTGAGCATATCTTGACACAAAGGTAGTAGTACAAATGATTTAATAAAGGCCATTCAAAAGCCCATAAAAGCCTTCCAGATTTAGCAATCAGTTAGCCAACAGTGAGAGCCTAAACATTTCATCCACTTTTCTAGTGACACTAAAGTATCTACAGCCCTCACCAAGTTCTGTGAAGCTGTCCTCTATTAGCTTCCTAAGAAAATATGTGTATAAACAAACTTATGCATTCAAGGGGTGTGAGTGTAATGAAATGATTAAGCCATAGTTTGGAGACTTATAGTGATTAGAAACTAGCTGTGTTTGCCCAGAGAAAGCTTTGCAATTAGTGCAAGTAACCCACTTCAACAGCTTCATTTTTCCTCCTGAAAATCATTTTGGGAATCCCCAGGAGGGGTTCTGTCTCTAGCACCAATCTCTGATTTGCAGAAACAGGTCATGAGATTATAAACCAGAGACTCAGAAATTATCCCAACCTTGTTGTGTTAGGAGTAACCAAGAAATGTTTCTCCCCCCAACAAAATTGTGGCTTCAAACACCTTTTCCTATTTTTTTCTCCCTCTGATGCCAGAATTACCGCCCTTGCCCTTGGTTTCCCACTCCCAGCTACACAGCCTATAAAATTGCTGCAAGGAGCCGAGTGCTGCTTTTCGCACAGCCACAGACAGAGCACATTCTGCACAGAGCATCCGCGCCAGCCTCCCGAGGAGACAGAGGACCATGTAATCGCCGAGATGCCCAGGAGCTCCTCCGAGCACGGACTACAGAGCAGACCCGAGCGGGGAGGAGGCTCTATAACCGGGGAGTGCATCACAGATTGAGAAGTAACTTTGGGCAGCGCGTTGCGGGGCCGGGCAGCAGCAGGCGGGGAAGGAAGGGAGCCGCGGGCACATGGTACATTCCTGCCTGGCTGTGCTCCCCGCTGCTCCTCCTGCCGCTGGCTCCCCGCGCCGCGCCGTGCCGTGCCGTGCCGTGCCGTGCCGCGCCCGCAGGATGGGGCGCGCTCGCTGCCCGGCCAGCCCGCGGCGGTCACACAGCGCAGCCAGCCCGCAGCCCGTGCGAGCAGCCAGCCCGCTCTGCCGCTTAGGATGACTCGCTGGAATCTGCCGCTAGTTCCTCTGTTGCTGATAGCGGACGGAGAACAACCAAAAAGCTACACTGGACTAGACCAAGGTAAGAGATTTAAGAGTGTTTTCTACCCCGCGGCCAGCCGAGGCTGCGTAGGAAAGCTGGCACACGGTGGGTGTCTGAACACCTGGCATTACATGCCATCAGTGTGTCTTTCTGGTGTTAACCCTGCGTGCACCACCCAGCCACCCCCGGGGGGATGGAGGCAGGTCAAAACACAGCCTAGTGCCTGCATTTTCCCCCCTTAATGCAACTTTTGAGGCTGCACTACCACCTGCTCCCGTGGATGCAAGAGGCTTCCCAATATTGCTGAATGATGAGGCTTTTGTGCTGTGCTGCTGGGAATGGAGCGTACCCGGCGTCTGTCATGGACTCCGGGCGGATTCATTCCCACAGCAGTAGTTTCATCACTTTAATGAGTTGAGATTCCACAGCCCACAGAAACGCTTCCCTGTCATTGCCCCTCTCTCTGAGGGCTTCTCAGATAGATGCGATCCATTTGGAGGCTTTTCAAAAGTAGTGCTCGCTGGAAGCACCAGGGCAAGTCTGCTGGAGCACAGGCAGTGCTGCACTACATATTCTGTCTGCATTCCTCTCTGCTGCTTCTGCTGTGAATCAAAAATTCAGCCTTGCAGGAGGGTTTTTGCAAGGACAGTAAATGTCTCCGGCACAACAATTTAAAGTAAAGGGAGAAGCTGTTTCTCCCCGTTCTGAAATTCTGGCTAAATATTCTTCTTCCATTTTCTGAGGAGGTACAGTATTTCTAGCAGAGTTATCTAAGCAGGTTTCTGCTGGGGCTGATTGACAGTTTTTAGTTGTGATTTTAATGGAAATCTTTCACTGAATGTCTACAGCTTCATTTCTGTCAATCCAATGCTTTTTAGCAAATGGCTTTCTTTGGAGGGTGACACCTTTAAAATTAGCCCAGGACCATATTTTTCTAGACTATAAACAAGAGTATCAGACCTGCCTGTGCACATTGCAGAATCCCAGAATCTCACCTTTGGATTTTAATGGTATAACTGCAGTGGAAGACATTTGGTTTGCTTTACAGGTTTTCTGTACTGTGGAAAGAATCACAATTGCAACTGAATTTATCTGTGTTTCCTATACATTATTATGGTGTTTCTCTGCAATATCCTACATGTTCTATTTGTTCAGACCTTCTGTGGACTGGCAATAGGTTTATCAGGAGATGACTTTTAAACCCTTTTTTAAAAACTGCCCTGACATTACTGCCATGAAAAGGACTCTGTGCTCAAGGAAGATGATGCATCCCACATTGATCCTACCCATGGAGGTGACCAAAAAGGTACCAGCAATTAACAAAAAAACACCACTCAGCATCCCAGAAGCCACCAAGACCCACAATCCATTGACCCAGCATGAATATTTTTGGAATGAACTCAAACATGGCACCAATAAACACTCCCCTTAGCTACTACCCTCTCCATGCACTCCTTAAAATAGATTAGGAGAAAAAATGTTCTTGTTTCAGAGAATTTTCAGGAATTTAAAACAGAGCTTTGGGAAGAGGTAGGACATCAATATCTTGATGTGTCAGCATGGATCCTACATCATTTTCCATCAGAATATGGTACAATTTTCCACTTGTAAAAGGGGAAAGCATTTACCAACATTATGTTTTAAGATTATTTCTAGTCATTTAGAGAAGTGCAGAGACTTTGATACTTTTTTAAAAATTTGCTTCTTTTCCCTAGCATTTCAATATGGTGCCTGGCTGCAAGGGTATAATTATTTCCAGGGAAAGTAATTCTAAAGTACAATTCAGACAACAGATCATTGTGATTCCATTAAAAGTTGATAATATTAATGTAACTTATTTTTAAATTAGCACCTATTTATTGTATTCCAGCTCCTAGCCACTTGCTAGTGAAGCACATATCATAGTCTCTGGGGTCTGAGCAGCTATTTTTGAGGCTGTCTGGTTAATGTCTGGAATACAAAATTACCCTGTTCACAATTTGGCTTTTCTGTGTTATTTTCCTTTCTTCTGAGACATCAGTATATTATCAATTCTCATCTGGGTGGCTCCTTTCAGGTGGAATCTTAGTCCATTTAAATGCAGACAATTTACTGTGATAACAGTTTATTGTAACTTAGCAACAAGAGCTAAAAAAATCAAGTTACAGCCATAACACATGCAAGCCTTGTATTGTGCTGCCCTGTACTCAGCAAATTAAACCCTTGAGATAAATGACATTCTAGACCAGTCAGTTTAATATCATTAGCTGGGCTGGCCAGTTGCTCTAATTACAGAAGTCAAAGAGTGCAGGAAGCAGCTGCAAAGTCAGCACATGTGCAGGGAGCTGTTCGTAAAGCAGAAACACATGCTTTATCTTGAGCCTTTTTGTTGTAAGATGAATTATTAAGGAAAGGTATGGCATTTAGTATCACTGACAGAAAAATGGTCTGGCTGGGGTCCAGGTGGCAAGACTTGTATGAGGGGCATGGGGTTATCACTGGTCTCTCTGTGAAGCTTCATTTCTGGCATAATATCTTCACCAAAATAAACAAACAAACACTTCAATGCTATTCCTCTGTGATCAGACCCTTGGGTCATTCATTACTGGTGAGCTGGGAGGACAGCACAAGGAAAATCAGCACAACCTTGATAGGTACTGTCCTACCTATTTTACTGAAAATAGAGAATCCACTGTCAGTGAAACATGTCCAGGGAGCAATAAGATGCAGAGCTGGTGCCCTGGAACTGGGTGAAAAGAAAAAACATCCCTAAGACAGACACCTGCTCAACTCTGGAGCTCTGCTTGAGTCTAGAAGATTAAACCAGCCACAAGCAGCTGAAAGGAGAGTCAGGCAGCTGCTCTCATGGGTGGCCAGGGATCCCCTCAGCTCAGAGTTTTACATCCCTCTTGGCATTTCGCCTCCAGAAACTGAATTCAGGAGAGGCAGGAGTTTTGCTGTGGTCAGTTAGGTGGATTCAGGCTTATAACTGATTTCATTTAGAAAAGAAAAACATTCAGCCAAGTTCTTCCCCTCAAAAATCAGCTTGAATAGAAGGTTCTTCAGTTGTCTGGTACTGCTGTATATGTCATTTGAACATAAACTTCACCCAAAATGAAGAGCTCTAAACAAATCAACAAGGTTTTACACATTAGGAATGAACAAGCTCTTGATAACAACCTCTAGAAAGGTATCAAACCCATCCCAACTACTTGATAAAGCATATTCTACACAGACACCTGCAAAAATGGATTAAGTTTCATCTCCTTTGAAACCACCATACTTAGCCACTTTCATAGCTCTCTATTAATGTCACTGGAGCTCCAGCATCTGTAGATCTATTCCTTGCACCCTGAACAGAGTTAAGATTACCTTCTCTCCACTGCACAGTACTTTGTTGTAAGATAAGGCAACTGCACTGACAAGTAAAACTTTGAAAAGTTTTTTTGTTTTTCTTTTGGTTGAGTTTTTTTGGTTTTTTGAAGTTTTTTATTTGACTAGGTTGGAAGAGACCTTAAAGATCATCAAGTCCAACCCATGCCCTAACACCTCAACCAAACCATGGCACTGAGTGCCACATCCAGTCCTTTCTTAAACACATCCAGGGATGGTGACCCCACCACCATAATTAACCATGATTAAGATGGTATTTCAAGCCCTATTTTTAGAATAGGAAACACTTTGCACACTTGTTACATTGCTTTCCACAACCTTCTTGTAACATGCTCTCATCAGTTGAGATCAAATCTAATCTCAGTCTAAGACTAAGGATGTTTATAGGGGTTAAATTAAGGCATGTACGTGATGCAAAACAGGCATCCAGCCCTCATGTTTAGGCATTACCTCCTGAGGAGAGCATTTTTCTTTAAGTAAAGAAGTCTTAGAATTATAAGATAACAGAATATTGTGAATTGGAAGGGACCCATCAGGATCATGGAGTCCATCTCCTGTCCCTGCACAGCAGCATCCCCAGAGTCACACCCCATGTGCCTGAGAGCTGTGCAAACACTTCTTGGTCTCAGCCAGCCCTGGAGCTGTGCCCACTGCCCACCCTCTGGGTGAAATACTCTCTCCTGGCATCTTTCAGACACTCTGTGAGTTAGTGATGAATATACTTGGTGGATAACAACTATTGCTTTCTTTACCTTCAATTCTTGCATTTTCCAAAGAACTTTATGACACTCTTTTAGCATTTTTAGTCCAATAGAATTGAACCTTTGACTGCCTACACTGGTGAAGGGTGCATCCAACTAAAACATAAAGGAGTAATGTAACAAATGTGTAGTGTTATCTCAGTATATATACATGGAAATAGTGTCAGAATCTAATATAAATACAAGGTAATATGTCCAATTTTAATCACAACTGACTTTGAATAGACTTCTTCAAAATCAAATCAGGAATTTCAGGTTTCTGTTTAATTATTTTGTTAGGACTAATATTTTTCCATTAAAATATATATTATTTCTGTATTTATTTAATCCAGTGGTCTGCATTTTCTCTACAATTAAATACAGATGATGCAGATTCCAAGGCACTTTTAGTTCTTTCTTCCTCAAACAAAATAAAAACAATATTGTGTTCATCACAAAGTAACTTTTCCCATACTCAAGCTTTGTGAAATAATCTGGATTTTTGAAAACTGAAGTCTTTAAAATCTGAACCAACAGGAAAATAACTTTATTCTTCTCTTTCATTTCATTACCATGTGAAAAGTCTTTTCACTAAATATCAGCCTGCTTGTTTGTATTCCTTTGATTGTAATTCAAATCTCAAAAATTATGAGGAAGCTAAGTATGCTGGACATAAATTCTCGAGGTTTTGAGGCAATCTCATTACTGAGTTGTTGGCTAGTTTAGGAATGTTGTGTTAAAGACAATCTGTGTGAATAATCTGACTGCCCAATGGGACACACTTCTGAGAGCAGGGTACACTCTCTAGAGCAGTTCTCCTGGATGACACTTCTGGAATGCATGTTAGACAATCTGAATTTTCAGTTATACTCAGCACAGTCTGTGTGGCTTTTCCTTCCTATTTCTCTTCATGACTTTCCCAACCTT